TGATATGCTTATTGTACTCTATAGATTGTTACCTCGTATTTCTATACTTAGAACTAATCCATAAAAAGATTCTACATGTGCACATATGAAACAAAAACCAACTGCAAACGCCGTATATATTCACCATGTATCAATACAAATCAATAAATCATATCGAAACAAGGTTACTAAATATCAAGTTTTATTCAACAGTGAAATTAATACGAGAAATCTGTTACTACAACAAAATTGAGCTTATATGACGCCTAAAATGTCTATATGTTCTAATAAGATGATTCATATATGTTTATACGACAAACGATAAAACATCTTATCCTAAAGTGTCATAATAGGTTTATAAGACACGTTTGAATGCTTTAACAAATTATTAAAAATATTATATTAACTATTTTATAGGACATTTTTTAGAAACGTTATATAAACCTATGAACATGTATTTGTAGTTGTATTCTCCCAAAAAAAATACATATCTTACGTTTTTTACGATATGATCCAATTTCAGGTACTTTGCGATTTGGGCTTAACCTTGACATTTTTGGGCTAAACCTATGTATTTTTTATATGAAATGTAATTATGGATTGGGCCCATGATTTCACATATGAAATGTTATTGTGAAACAACCATGGTAACAAAATCTGTAATTGTTTCATATGAGAACCAATAATTCGTTTGGCTTCACATGAGAAACAAAATCATCACATATTAAAAAGTAACTGTGTCGTTTCATAAACAATACTGGTATGAAATTAGGGTATCAAAAACCGTTACTTTTCATACGAGACGCAATAGTTTGTTTGGTTTTCATATAAGAAACAAAATGGTTCAAAAAAAGGGGTGAGGAGTCAATTACATATGGTAACCGAATAAGATATAATAATTTTTAAGATAATTTAATATTATATGAAATATTTAAATAAGTTAATTATTCCTAAAAATACGAATGTTATGAAAAGATCCAAATACCCTTGAGTATAACGTTTATAAAAAGAACCAAATACCTTTTATTGTACAGTTTACAAAATACTTATTTTTTCATTAAAAAATAGTAATCATTACTTTATATCTATACTATATTATAAAGCATTTGACAAAAACTCTTAAAAACTATTTTTTATGCATGAAGTACTGTTTATTGATGCATATTACTTAAAATTCAAGATTACAAGTAAATTTTGTATAAGTACAACTTATTAAAGCTCTATGTTTGAATTCGT